ATCTGGGAAAGATGGTGGTGGTTGTCTGAAGAACTCTGTGACATCCTTGGTTTCTCTGACTTTAGTCTTTAAAGATGTGTTGCACTGCATATCTATGAGTTCCATTTGTAAATCATATGGTGTTGTTTCCACATCAACAGAAAACGGATTAGCAAACATATCGACGCTTTCTTTGTGCTTTCTGAAATCTGAAAATGGCTGATCAAATTCTTACAAAAGCAGGTCAAGCTTAGTAGTGTATTCAGAACCACTGAACTGTATTTCAGAGCCGAGCTCTTCCACAAGTGAATTGCATGCTGGGAAATGAGTGAGATTCCCCTGAGAAATCTGATTTTTCCATAATTTTAGTTTAGTTGTGAATGTTCTCACATTATCGTACACTGCTGTCACCAGCTGGCCTGGACCTTGCAGCTTCAGGTTTAGGGTATTCAGCTCTTGTGTTACGTCAACAAGGAAAGCAAGATCTGTCATCCATTTGTGATCTTCAAATTCTGGTACAGCCATTTTAATTTCTTCCATTAATCTTTTCCCCTCTGTTTTCAATTCAAAGAATCTCTTTAAAGTAGAACCCCTGCTTAGCCAGCGCACTTCAGTGAAGTAGAGCAAGTCACCGTATTTAGATTCAATTTCCTCCAGGAAAGCACGAAACTGTCTGTGCTGCAAGCCCCTGGAGCGAATGCAATTCACACATTTCACAACAACTGACATGACATTGTCAGATTTCAAAGATTTACTGCACAGTGCTTGTTGGTGAATGATGCAGTGTAACGCTATTGGTTGCTCAGCGTTTTGCTCGGCTGTCTTTCTTTGTACTAGTGCTACCAATCCATTTTTTTGACCAATGATTGCTGAGGCCCCATCAGTGGTTAAGCCTGCTAACAAGTGCTATGGCAAACTGGATTGTTCCAGTGCTTCTGTCAGGCAGTGAAAAATTTCACTGGCCGTTGTTCTACCACGCATTGTTGAAAAGCTGAGCAATTTTTCAGTTACTGCCAAGTTTTCATCAACTTCTCTCCCAAATATGGCAAGCTGCACACTGTCAACCAAATCGGTACTCTCATCAATTGCGATTGAATATGCGTGGAAAGCTGTGCTTTTCTCAATGAGCTGCCCATCAATATCTTTAGAGAGCTCAAGAATACGCTCTGCTAGGCTGATATTGCTGAAAACCTCTCTCCTAGTGGGACATATGATCTCACTGACTTTAATAAAGCATTGTTTAATAAATTCACCATCAGTAAATGGCTTCCCACACTTAGCAATCATTTCCCTCATGACATAACTTGCCAAAACTGCTGACTCTGACTCTTTTCTCGCTTTCTGAAAAAGCTGCTGCTGCTTTGCTCATTCTTTTTTCAATGGTAAAACCATCTTCTCTCTGTGTTGTCCCTGATATTTATCATATTGCTGTGCATGTTTTGCTGTGTAATGTCGTTTGATACTGTAGTCTTTTAAAACAGCAACTTGGTCTTTGCAGTTCATGCACGAGTTAGTCTGTTTGTACTCAATGACAAAGTCTCTCAGGGACCACCAAGCACCTTCACCGAGACCATCCTACCATGAGGCAGTTCCTGCTCCACACTCCATGCTCTGCTGACAGCAGGACCTTGCTAGGCTGGGCCTCCTTGGGCACAAAAGCGGCTGAGAAGGCACAGTCATGGTCTGCCCACTGGTCAGATGCAGGGAGTGAGGAGCATGGCTACTACCCTAAAGAGATGGGGCAGTGGGTGGTTCTAACCCTCCCTGTGTTGTGTGTCTGAGATTATGCTCTCATCAGGTTCAGTGCCTCCTGATGCTCCTGCTGAGATGGCCTCTCCAACACAACCTACCAATATTACATGGGACAGTGGGTAAAAAAGTAAATAAAGGGCCCCATTTCATTACACAGACCTGCAGTGCCGACAGCTAGAAAGAACCTCTTTCCTGTCTTCTTATCTTCACCTTATCTTATCTGCCAGCACCAGGCACATTGCCTCCGTGCAGGCGCTGCTCCTGGAGCTCCCATTGGCCATGGAGTCAGCGCTCGGGGAGGGGGACGGAGGCAGCGTGCCCCCTTGCGCTGTTATTGGAGCCTCCTGAGTCACGCCACCTCCTAGCCCGTTTCCCATTCTTTTCCCTCGCTCCCTTGGCCTCCTGCTGCCCCGGCTGACTCTGCCCAGCAACTAGTGACGCTGCCTCCATGGCTGACTCTGCCCAGCGACTAGTAATGGTATCTCTGTCCCTCTCCCCCAGCCAATGGGAGCTGCAGGGGGCAGCACCTGCAGCAGACAAAGCCGGCAGCGTGGCTGCATGGGTCACGGCTCCACCAGCAACAGCAGGGATAGGGAACTGCTTGCGGGAGTCAAGCTGCCTGAGGTGAATGTCCCCCAGGCAACAGACCTCAAAAGTTTTATGAATGAGACGTTGCCGAGTGCAACCCCTGGGAGGGTCCCAGGAACAGCAGGATGGAGCAATGTTGGGGTGAGGGGCATGTGAATCTCTCCTGCCCCCTCCCCTCCTGCCCTCCCTTCCCCCGGCCGGCAGCTACGAGGGCCGGATGAAAGAACTTTTTAAAAAGTTTCCGTGGGCCGCAGTGGGGAGGTTCTTGGGCCGCAGATGGCCCACGGGCCGGGACTTTGAGACCCCTGTATTAACATATATACATCGAACAAGAACGGTTTGTAACATGAACAAATGAGCCTCCTACCCCCACCCCTCCCCCCAAAGCCAAATTCTCTTACAAGTGGGCAAAAATTACTTTATGCAAAGACATCTCCACAACCTTCTCCTCTCCTTGAGAAGAGGGGGAATGCCCGTGGACTATTGTGTGGTGTGACAAATTGGGACATCTGTGTGGCATTTGGGGGCCGAACACAGGCTGTGCTAGGACTGGACCGGGGTCCCTCAAGAGGGGATTTTGGTGCCTGAGGAGGACATGGTGTTGGGCATCCAGCATGTCCCTCCCCAGCAGGGAGGGAGTTGGGATTCACTGCTGCTGGAGGAGGAAGAGGTGGTGTTGCCTGTTCCCGTAAAAGAGCAGCGGCCCCAGCAGTGGGCAGGCCCTGAAAGCGTTCCGCTAGGGGCTGCATGAGTGCATGATTCTATTCCCTCTGTGCACGCTCCCATTGCCCGAGCTGTCTCTCCATTTGCAGGAATGCCTCATCCTGCCTAAGAGCCTGATCCTCTCTTGACCTAGGAAAGTCCAACTGCCCCTGACTCCTGTCTACACCAACAGGCAGGTCCTCCAGAGTCCTTGACATCTTCCTTTGCTATGTCTGGGTTGCCCCTCTGCCCTACCACCAGAATGGGTTCCCCCTCAGCAGCAGAATGTCTTGCCATGACAAAGACCCGGGTAGCATTATATTTCATTTTTTCCTTGGAATGGACCTAAATCCCCCCACATAACACAACTGTACTGCTGAAGGCCACAATATTGATACGTTTTAGAATCCAGGCAATGCAGCTGTTACAGTCCCCTTCTTTCATACTACTTTGGCAGCCCCCAAGGAAGCAGCTGAGATTAAAAATGGTAAGATACCTGCCTTACTTTTATTAAAATGCAATGTTTACAGCATGTGGGGTTGGTTCGGTTCTTTCAGGGGTCATGGTACAAGTCACCTTTCTGTTCTTTAAAGGCTGCCCATCACTTGGAGAACATAGCAGTCCTGAATAGACCAGAATCAAAAAGACTCTGGAGGGCACCCGGCCACCTATGCTAGAGATGTTTCTAATAAGGGTGACCCCTCTATTGCTGAGTGGAGGAGTTTGGTGAGCTACGGAGCTGGACCACACCCATTTGCCCTGCTGTTAAACCCGGGGAACCAGCTTGAATTTCTGCTACACCAAATATTTGCTGAATTATGCCCTCAGGGCTGGGTGGAAATTTGAGAGGAAATTGACTAGCTAGCAGACAGAGTTTCCTTCCCATGGTAAAGAAACAAAGAACAACAGAAAACATCCACTCACCCCTGAACTCATCCCACACCCCCCGCATCACCAGAAAGTCCAACCCCTGTGTTCAGTGAGCAGCACTGAAAGGGACAGGGAAACTACAGAAGTGCCTTTTCTTCACTGCACCTTTGGATTCAGGGCCGGCTCCAGGGTTTTTGCCACCCCAAGCAGCTAAAAAAAAAAGCTGCGATTGCAATCTCGATCTCTACTGCCGCCGCTTCAGTCTTCGGCGGCAATTCGGCGGCTGGTCCTTTGCTCCAAGAGGGACTGAGGGACCCGCTGCCAAACAGCCGGACGTGGCACCCCTCTCCGTTGGCCGCCCCAAGCACCTGCTTGGTGGGCTGGTGCCTGGAGCCGGCCCTGTTTGGATTAACACCTCTCCACTGCTAAGGGCCACGGCATTCTGTCGGAACTGCCAGAGAGGATGCCTCACTCACCCCCACTTCTCCCCGCTTCTGCAAAATGACTCTGTGGAGAGAGAGGCCACATGGACTGGGAATGGTAATAAACATTTGCAATGGTCACAGGGAGAATAGACTGCTCTGCTTTCCTTGGACCAACAAATGGTTCCCTTTCCCTTCTCGGACCCATACCCAAGCCACCACCTCTCCTCCCCCTCCATGCAACTCCCATTTGCAAAGGGCAGGAAGTGGAAGAGAGGGAAGTGGGGCGGGTTTCAGTCTTTGAGCAACCGTAACCATAAGTGTCAAAAAATTGTTCTTTTCCCATCCGGGCCCTATCAGAACCTGCATCCCTTTCCCTTTGGTCAGCTTGGTCCAGTCTCTAGCTCTGTTCAGCATGCTGGCCAACAAATGCTCAGGCACACAGGAACTCTGTTATAGTCGCTGCTAAATGCTTTTCAGTGGTTCATGGGAATTCAATAAAATAGGTTATGGCACAAGAATGTACATGTGACCATGTCCAGTCTCACCCTATCAAAGGTTTTGCGGTGCATTAATTGTCAATGAAGATTTCAATTCCAGAGTGAGTTGGCCATCAGCAAGAAGCAGCTGTAAATATCCATCGCTGTGTTGGAGTCCTTAGCTCATCCTTCTTTATCTCTTCCCTAGGTGAACCTTCCAAGAGCAATGATGATTGCCATTCCTTTGGTGACATGCCTATATTTGCTGGTAAACGTGAGCTACTTCGCAGCCCTGACTCCAGCTGAACTTCTGTCTTCGGGCGCTGTGGCCGTCAGCTGGGGGTGAGCTATGCGTGTACTAACACTGTCACTGTGGCCCAGTGGCTAGGGCACCAGACTGGCATTCTGGACAACTAAGTGCTACTCGCAGCCCTGCCACTGGCCTACTGAGTGATCTCGGGCAGGTCACTTCACCTGTTTCCCCACTTGTAAGATAGGGATAATGACACTAACTTCTTTTGTCAGAGGCTTTGAGATCCATGGATGGAAAAGTGCTATACTATTATTAGAGAGCTAGATTATTTTTTAAATTTTTGTCAGCCCAAAGATTTCCAGAGCACCTCCCAAGCCATATAAACACAGTACCACCGAGATGGACCCATAGAGTGGGATAATGCCACGCAACAGGCTCACAGGCCAGAAAGGGCTAGTCTGATCTATTCTGGACTCTGGCTCAGGCCTTGGGTAAACTGTGTCTTCTTAGACCCTTTTTCAACCCCCTTAGTGCACCCCTTTCAAGTAACAGGCCTGTGCCTCCACTTCTCTTGGGAATGGGACCCTGTAGCGGGGTGGTCACCTGCTCTGGCCCTGGAAGGGTCAAAGCCAGCCCTGGGATAGGGCTCAGGCTGCGAAGCAAAGCCTGGGATGATTGGGGAAGTAGCCACAGCTGGGATGACACCCCAATCAAGTCGCAGCTGGCCCTATAAAGGGGCTGCTAGGCTGGAGCTCAGGCACAGTCTCTCTCTAGAGTTGAGAGGGATGGGCCTGGCTGCTGGGAGCTGAGCAGGGTACCTAGACTGGAGCAGCGCTGGGGAAAGGCCAGAGGAGCTGGGGAGCTCCAGCCTGGAAAACCCCCAGGCTGCAGGCCTTGACAAAGGCCGGAAGGGGAACTGGGGTTGCAGAGGGGCAGCCCAAGGGTAGGCAAAGGCAGCAGGTCCAAACCCTCCTTGCCGATGATGAGTGGCAATTACACTGCAGTCTGCCCCCAGTGAGTGGGGGCTAGACGGTGACTGGCAGTAGCCAAAGACTGAGGTGAGGTTGGCATAGGGGATTGGGGAGACCCAGTGAGACTGTGGGGTACTGCAGGGGGCAGAACCCTGAGTGAAGGGGCACCAGGGTCCGGGAGGGACACAGGGCCAGCGGCAAGGTGAGACACTGGCCTGCAGAGGGCGCTCTGGAGGCTGGCAAGCTAATTCCCTGGACGATCAGCAGGAGGCGCCGCAGGGGAGAGTTGTCGCCCGACTACAGACCCACAATTCAAACACTCTCCAACTGGGTCTCCCCCTTCTGATCTAACTCCATATAAATAAACACACAGAGCATGCACAATGTTCATAAAAATAATAAATCCCCTATTTATTCATTGCAAGCTCCCAGTTACTTCCATCTCTGGGACAGGAGAAGCAGATGGCCTGCTTGCTGCAGCTTCTGTGTCTTTTTCCATGTGTCTCCTTTCATTGCTGCTCACTGACATTCCCTGGATAGCCTCTCCAACTTGCTTACCCTATGTATCTTTTCAAGGCCCCGTGTCCTGCGATGGTTCAGTTTTCTTCTTTGATCCTAGGCTTTGCCTTGGGAAAAGTAAACCATTCTAGCCTGGCTGGAGCCAAGCAGGGGGTATCCCTCCATTAACATCTTCCCCATTGTTTCCTCAAGGACCTCTAGCATTCTCCATGATAGTGCCACTGTTTCATTTCCTGTTTGTCCTCACTCTAACAAATCCTTAAATTGAACTCCTTGCTGTTAGGCAGGATAATATTAAACAGATAATCTGAGGTACAAAAGAGATTTATAAAAAGCCAACACATCACTCCCTCATTCTCCACATCCTGCATACACAGACCATAGAATTTCATCAAGTGACTCCTGCATCAAGCCCATGGCTTCTGGGTGAGATCTAGCATATCTTTTAGAAAGCCATACAACCCTGATTTTAAGACTTCAAATGACAGAGAATCCACTACACTTCTAAATAAGTTGTTCATGGGATGGGAGGACAAATTTTGGCCACAAACACTGAGGCAATCTCTATTCTTATTAAAAATGCAACAGGAGCTTTGTTTCTATGGGTATGAGACAACATCTCAGGTTTTAAGAACTCATTTATGCTCTTATTGCATTGTTAATAACCCTTAATGTAATTGAAAACAGGAGTTCAAAGGACCAGTGTTCTGCTCAAACCAGTTACAAAACCCCATTAAGTTATTGGGGCATGAACTTTCTCTGCACTTCCTTTCCTGTCATTCCTGATTAACAAGTTATTTGTGAGTTCTCTGTTTTATAACCTGCCTCCTTCTCCTTCTTGACTAACCTTTTCACCCTGAGAGCACAGCTTTGGAAGAAACATGGCCCCAGCAACCAGGAGGTGGGCTAGTGTGCAGTGCATATCTGAGGGAGGAGGGGGAAGCCCATGGCAACCAGGAAGGTGGGTAGGGCAAGATGCTTATGGAGCATGAGTGAAGATTCCAGCAGCAGTGCAAGAACTCTGACAGTCGCATGCTTTAACTGCTGGTTAAAGTAAAAAAAGCTGCTAGAGAAAGGCATTATCTAGTGGCCAGAGCATAGGACAGGGAGCTAGGAGTTCCTGAACTCTTGTCCTCCCTCAGATAATTATGGCTGAAATTTCAGAAGCATGGTCTCCCTTTGGGCGTAATTTGCATCCACAAAACTGCCTCAGCATTTCTTTTGAGTCAGCAATTGAGCAGCAAATGCAAATCTAAATGGTTGCACCTTGAGAAAGCTTCTCAGATTTGCACCTGCAGTTCATTTTCAGGGCTCCAGAAGTGCAGCTGCCAATTTTGTAGGTGCAAAACAGTGGTGTTGCCAACTCTTGTGATTTTATTGCAAGCCTGGTGATATTTGGAGTTTTTTCTGAAAGCCCCACCTTCTGGAGTCATGTGATTACGTGAAGCCCTCTACCTTTTTTTTTTTTTTAAAGGTTGGAGCCCTCCTAGATTCAGAGAAGCTTGAAATCATGAACAATAAAGGCTCAAAAAACAGAAGGCAAACACCCTTCTCCCTTTTAATATTTTTTATATCATGATTTTTAAGCTCATCTCTTATTTTGGAAGGGACCTAACTCATGATTTTTGAACTCCTGGGATTGACAAGACTGAAACAGGGTGACCGAGCCTTAGCCAGGCTGAAAGTATAATCCAAATCTAGTGGCTTCCAATACATTCTGCCGCAAGTGTGGCCATGTTCCTCCTCCCTCACCCTTTTTCTCTCTCCCTTTTTCTTTATAGTGGTACAGATGGGTTCAAGCCACAAAATTCAGATTGAGATTTCAAGCATAGAATGATAGGGTTAGAAAGGACCGCAAGGGTCATCTAGTTTAACCCCCTGAAGATGTTTGGATCTGGGATTTTGGTCCATTAAATGCACACAAATGGTGATTTCTTTGGTAGGCCAATGTTGTTGTAACACATTTACTATTGTTAATTTCACCCTCCATCATCCCCAAAGGTAGAATCTAGTTTTGTTTTAAATACCAGACGGCAGTTTGTAGGCAGGAACAAGAGGATATCATCCCAGCATCTGCCTCCAGAGACGTCTGCAACCTTACGTTTGGTTTGTTAGGGTAACACCAAACTGGATGGAGCCTGCCCCAGTTTTTATGGTTCTGATTATCCTCTTACTGATTTTAAACCCGTGTAACTCTATTGACTGATACGGAATCATGCCTGATTTACTCCAGTGAGAGAGGAGAATCAGGTCCCCTGTGTCTAGCAACCTTCCTTGGGCAATCCATTAACTGTTTTCTGGACTCAAAGAAATGTAACTCTAGCATGTCTCTGAGAATGTACTCTGGAATCATAAAGCAACAGGGCAGTAACTAATGCTGAGATGTTGAGAAATGTACAAGTGGATTTAAAGAACTATCCTTTCAATGCATGTTTGAGGGGGTTGTTCTTTCTTTCTTTCCTTTCTTTCTTTTTGTTGTTGTAGTAGTAGTAGTAGTAGTAATAATAATAATTTAAAAAACCTCCAACAACCCTTCGGTTTCACGTCAGCATTCTTCCCAGGATTTCTCTCCTGCCTCTTTAGATAATTAAACAAGAGGCCCCAATCCTACTCCTATTAAAATCAATAGGACTTTTGCTATTAACTTCAATGACAACGAACACAGGCCCATGGTGTGACAGTCGCACTGCATTCCTTGAATGAATGCAATCCAGGGCTCAATCCTCTACCATTCCTTAAGGGCATTCTTCCAGTTCGTCAGGATGACCGCGTCTGCTGGCCATAGCATTGCACAACTAGTTAAGGAGGAATTAAGGGAGTAAGACTGATTGTCTTCCTCTGTCATGTTTAAAACCATTTGCTTTTGCATGATCTGTGGCTTTGCTGTTTTATTTCCCTGTCACTTAGGAATAAAGTCCTGGGCAACTGGGTCTGGGTGATCTCCTTGTCAGTTGCGCTGTCTTCATTTGGGTCAGCGAATGGAACATTTTTCAGTGGAGGCCGTGTGTGCTATATTGCTTCAAGGGAAGGCCATATGGTAAGGGAGTGGAAACTGTCTATTTAAGTGTAATCCTTCTGCCCCTCTGAGTTGGCAGCAACAAGGGCCGGGTTCAGTATCTAGGGGTTCCGTTTCAATAACGCAATGCAAAACCAGCTCGAGCTTCCACCCAGTGACCTGGGACAATTACATACCACCTCCTGGGCATCTCTAGGAGGCAATACTTCCCCTCTTGCAAGCACGAAGTCGGAGTGTAGCAAAAGCCTTTTAATAAAGGAGGGAAACAATGCGGCATTATGTTGGGGAAACACCACAAACAGGATTCATAACACAAACCATGAGCAAAAGACCCACCTCCAAGTAAGTTTGGCAGTGTCCTTTTCCCCTCAGGGTCTTAAGTCCAATCACCCCAAAGTCCAACAACCCAAAAGTTTCTGTCCCTGGTCAGTGCCGCCCCAGAGTTCAAAAGTTTATTTGCAGAGTTTTACCCCCCAAGCCTGGGTGGAAATGGGGGGGCACACTGGGTGTTAAGGGGCACCTTATGTGGTCCAAGGCCAACTGCCCTGCCTCTCCGTGGAGTTCTGCTGCAGCCTTCACCACGAATGGCTCCGCTCTACCAGCCACTCCGCTCCAACCGTCCCCACAAACTGCTCCGCTCCGCTCGCTGTTCCGTGGGCTGCTCCAACCGTCCCACAAACTGCTCGGCTCTGCCAGCCGCTCCACTCCACCAGCCATCCCATGAACCGCTCCAGCTACCCCTGCAAACTGCTCTGCTCACTGTTCCATGGGCTGCTCCAACCGTCCCACAAACTGCTCCACTCTGCCAGCTGCTTAGCAATATATCTTCAGGCTCCCCCCACTAGTTAACACAGCAATCAGTGATCTTAGCTCAGCAATTTTAGCAATTTCAGCTTGTAGTAGGGGAGCCCCAGTGCTGGTGCACCATTGGCCCAAAA